GGAGTTTTTTTTGTATGGTTTCACATACATGTATATGTGTGTGTGTGTGTGTGTGTGTGTGTGTGTGTGTGTGTGTGTGTGTGTGTAAAACTCCCAGTCTATTCTGTAGCCATGGTATTTCTTGATAGTTTCCTATCCAAATATTAACCAAATCCCACCCAGTTTAGTTGTTTCAGATCATCAAAGTTTGACTAGATGCTGCCATCTCACTAGGATAAAATAATTAATTTTACAAGGATATGAGATTAGGAAGTTAGAGAAAAAAATATATTTTAGTTTATTTCTTAATTGCAAAGTTCTGTCAGGAAGGTGGGAAGTAAACTTGATGCGTGGGAATGGGTTGCCTTTCCACCATAGAGTGCAAGGCCTCAATCTTCCAATAGATGAAGTCAGCATAAGCCAAGCCATCCTTCAGTTCCAAAGTCTTATGACAATATTACACGAGAAGCAGAATATTCCCTCTGTGAGAGAACTGTGAAACAGGTTCCCTGCTGACTTTGGTTTTTTCTGACAGATATATGGGTCCAGGCTGAAACTTTAGTGAGCTATTGGAAAAAACAGTATTTAAACACTAAGTATGCACTCATTACATGCCTGCTTTTAATGTAGGAAATGAGTAAAAGAAGTTATAGTAATGACTCACTCGAAACAAGCTCACAGAATTAGCAGATCTCATTTCAAAGTAATTAATTTTAGGATGAATGCTGGAGGATTTAAAAAATCAAGCATAGAAGCATAACGCATCATTAGTGCATCTACTGAGTTTTACAAATATCTAGGGGGGAAAAAAACATTCCTCGGATAAGAGATATTAAAGTCATCTGAGGGACAGCTAGATGGTACCTCAAAGAAGTTCTGATTCTGTTCTTCACGTCTTATCTTCTTTCACCCTCCTTTTTCTGACATTACTTCTAACCTGTAAGGCATAACCCAAATAATTTATTAAATATACATTAATAAACATTTTACACCATAATAAAAGCTTCAGTTCAGTCCAGGAGTAATAAAATCCTAATAAACCCACTTCCGTAGGGATAAGAATAAACTCAGTCCAAAGACTCATTAAACAGAACTAGAATTATTTCAGGTGAGTCAGAAAAGAAAAAAGACAAAGATATAAAGATGTAAAATTGGAGGAATGTTTTGATGGGACAGATTTCAGTTTCCCATCCAAATATTAACCAAATCCCAGCCAGCTTCGCTCTGAAAGTGAAGTTAATATTATTCTCAAATACTCTGTGGGACACAAAGGACAAACATTAGCTTTTTTTTCAAATGAGGGAAGAGCCTTCTTCCATGGGAGTTTGGATCCCAGCCCCAATTTTCCTGAATTTCCTTTATTTATCATACATATTCTGATGGTTCTGGATTCCTAGCTAAAGCAATTATTTTCTTTGAACATGCATGCTTAGTTTTGGTCAACTGCTTCCAAATAGTGGGTTGTATGTGTGAGTAAACTATCTGAGCAAATACTCTAAAAGAGATACTGTATCAGTTTACACAAAGGATTACTCATTCCATGCCCATCAGTTCTCAAGGGCTGAGAAAAGGATGGCAGGTGAAGCACAGCTTTTAAAATTGTCCTAGTTGTCCCTTGAACTGCTCCAGAGTTTAATTTTCACTGAAATTTTCCAAAGAGCAAACCTGGCCATACATAATGAAGAGTAGTATCTTTTTAACAGAGATATTTCTTTGATTATTTTTACTATGAATAAAGGTGGAGTAGAAATAAAAAAAAGTTCAAGATTATTTCCTCAGTGGACCAATTGTATGTATATTTTTTATTAAATCCCATTGAACTCAATGGAAGAAATAACTTACTTTTTTTTTAACGGTGGGGGGTGGTTGCAGATCTTCTCACTGAGCTGGTAAACCTGCTTTGCCATTCCAGACTAGCTACGGAACACTTTTCCAAATAAAGCATTTTTAACAAAAAGAAACAACAACAACAACAACACAGCCAGCGTGGATAGGAAAACTAGCACAGCAGGGGGAAAGTTAGGCGGTGAGCTATAGTTCCCACATGCAGGGACTTGTCTCGTATGAAAGGGAGCAATCGGCAGTCAGAGATGGTACAGGCACCGGTTCGTATGGACTAGAGTGGTTTCCAACCTTGGCAACTTTAAGACTTGTGGACTTGTGGACTTGTGGACTTGTGGACTTGAACTCCCAGAGTTGAAGTTGGCTGAGCAAAGCTGGCTGAGGAACTTTGGGAGTTGAAGTCCACAGGTCTTAAAGTTGCCAAGGTTGGAGACCACTGGACTAGACGTATGCCATGAGTAACCCCAACAGGTTTGGTGACCTTGATTCCCCCCCCCCCCCCACGAGAAACCCCGGCGTGTGCTGCGGTAGAGGCTGGTTGGCGCCTGGCAAGGAAGCGCGGGGTCAACCCACGTGCCTTCATCTCTTTCTTTGCTCCTTCTTGCAGCTGGAGACAGAAAACAGGCCACCGGTTCCGGCAGCAAAGCGCCCACAGACGTCCTCTCCAGCATCCACGGACTCTCGGCCCCTGCCTCCTCGTCCTAGGAAGAGAAAGGCGAGAAACAGAAGACGTCGGAGAAGGTTCTTCTTTCTCCCAGAGGCCGGGCTTAAATAGGGAAAAGGAGGACCTGCTGCAGCCTATCCAGAGGCGCGCCGATGGGGCGGCCTCCATTGTGTTTTCTCACGGAGCCTTCTCGCCCAAAGAAACGTGGAGGAATGGGTCCCTGCGCGTTGCCTTCTTCTCTGCGCAGGCCGGGGAAGCGCCAAAACCAACGCGACGGTTTACCTCTTGCTGGGGAGAAATCGAGGAAGGACATATTTTTTTTTTATTTACGCAGCCGAGAGTGACCCAAGGAGACCGTGCGCGGTTTTGATGGTGGAGCGTGATGGACGAACTCGTTTAGATGATGGACGGTGTTTTTTGGTCTAAGCAACAGATAGAACAAGAAAAAAAAGACAGATTTTAAGTCCCAGCCTTCCCATTGAGCAGTTCTTTGGGCCTGTAATGTACTTCGGGTCTAGAAAGGGGTTGGTTGGATGTATAAGTTGTTGCTGCGTTTTCGACTTCACTGACAGCAAAAGTGCATTTTGCGTTTCAAGACACGTTACCACTGAAACACTTTCTTGTCTCAGCTACCCCCCAAAAAATAAACATTTTTTTAAAAAAAGAACCAGGTAGATATTTTCATTCTAGGAGTCTTTTTTCTTAAATGAAAAGAGCTACAAATCCCATACTCATTGCACTCTTATTTTAAAAAGGCCTTCAAGATTAAATTCTACAAAACTGACAGAAGGTTTGTCAGTTGGTCAATATAGCTTGTGAACAATTGTTCCAATTCCTTCTAATTTAATCGGGAAAAGTTTTAGAACTGACATGAAAAGTTTCAGTAATTGGCTGTATGTCACATTACACAAACAAATTAATTAACCTGAGCTGGCAAATGAAAAGGACATTGCTCAAACTATTAGCATAGCCTTTCCCTTCCCTTCATATTTCCAAAATGTTTTCCTTGAACAGGTTTCAGAAGACTTCTGCCCGATGTTCCACTCTGCTAAAGTCCTGTTTTGCCGGCATAGACATGCTGCTAATTTCTAATGCAAAATGGCAACTCAGTAACAATCTTAGCTGATTTTATATTTTTGTAACAAACCAATAAAATATGAATAACAATCTTCCTTGTGTTCTGTGTGTGTGTGTGTGTGTGTGTGTGTGTGTGTGTGTGTGTGTGTTGGGGGATGATGTCTCCTTAAATGTTGCCACTAAATGTCTCTACAGCCAAATCCTAACCATGTTTACTCAGCACCGCAGTAAACTCAGATGACTTCAGTAGGATTTTCAAATAGCTGGAACATACTCAAATATTTTAAATCTGCCAGAACTTCAAATTTTATGACTCAGAATTTGAAGCACAACATGTGAATATGAAGTGTACAGTTTTATTTCAAAAACAGCTTAGCATTATTGACAAACTTCATTTACCTGGATAGCCATCAATTGTAACATTCAATAACCAGTTATATATTACCAAAAACACAACTGTGTTAATTAACTAATACTATTAGATATTAAATATAGGAATATATTTAAATATATTCAAATAAATGAAATATAACCCATTTTTAAAACTACTTAAATATCAGATGTAAATACGTATAGGCTGATCTTCACAGATAAAAACTGTAAAGTCAGACGTATTTTTTGCCCATTTTATACTGATAGGGTAGAAGAGCCAGACACCTTGGTTTCAATTTTTTGCATATTCCCGAATTTCACTGAATCAGAGTTAGTCACTCTCATCTTTCCGCCAAACTTATTTTAGAAGGAAGTTGTAAATTTGAGTCAGCCTCTGTAAATAAGAAAATGTGCATAATCTAAAATTCCTCAAGGGAGCAATGGAATAAACCTGTAATAAATAGAGATTTTATTTATTGAGTAAGAAATGAGTATCACTCAGTGAGTGAGCCCATAGAAATTCTGGAAGAATAACAACCTAATAACATAACAACTTCAAAATTTGCAGAGCAGAAATTTGTTCTAACTCTAGAACCATGATGCTTTGGTTCAGTAAATATTCTTCTGACAATTCTTGATGGCTCAATGAGTTCTTTGATATGTTTGGAGACATTTTTCATATTCAAGAGCCGAGGTGGCGCAGTGGTTAAATGCAGCACTGCAGGCTACTTCAGCTGACTGCAGTTCTGCAGTTCGGCTGTTCAAATCTCACCGGCTCAGGGTTGACTCAGCCTTCCATCCTTCCAAGGTGGGTAAAATGAGGACCCAGATTGTTGTTGGGGGCGATATGCTGACTCTGTAAACCGCTTAGAGAGGGCTGAAAGCCCTATGAAGCGGTATATAAGTCTAACTGCTATTGCTATTGCTATTCAGGACCAGTAAATGTTTTGTGACATATTCTTTTCTTATGACTACATCTGGATTTGCAACCAAGGAACCAGTCTGTTAATTAAAATTAACTTCCATGTAATGGTTTCATGAAGATGCAATTTGAGACCTGCAGAAACAATTGTATGTATGCAAGCATTCTAACCACTTTTCTTATTATTATACATTTATGGTAATTATTGAATTTTAGGAAAAGAGACTTGAGATTTTCAATCAAACATTGAAAGGTGGAATATTCCTGTTGAGTGCTGAATGCACCCATGCCTTCTTTTAAGGCATTCTCTTCCCTTCATCCATGTAACCAACGAGCCAAAACCTGGAACACACACACACACACACACACACACACACACACACACACACACACACCTCGTCCCAATTCTTTTTGTGAGAGATTTCTGGCAGATGGGGGTCAGTTTTGATTTAGAGCTTATTTTTTCTATTTTTAAACTTTTTCAAATCTTGGAGTTTTCCTGAACATGCTGATACCCCCCCCCCCCCGACTACACAGTTGTTCTGTGTACACGGTCTTCATAACTCAATTCCTAAGTTTAGTGTCTCAATGTATGTAGTAAACCAATTTATTAGTAGACACTGAGCTTATTTTTTTAAATTACGAGAATTCCTGTTAGTATTGTAATGTTTCTATAACCTTCCATACAAATTGAATATAATTTTATTAAATCTGGGTCTCTGAGGGAGGGTGGAAAAGGAGTGGAATTACAGGGGGTTTATAGATTTGATTCATTTTTCTGTATTTATGCATAGCTCATCATAAATTTCACAAGAACCATACTCCGGTACAGTATATTAACTAAAAACTATTTTTACTCTGTTTTATCATCCATTGGTAGTGACAAGATAGTTCGGACACAAAATAGTTAAATATTTTTCCATTCCCAATAGTGTTGTGAAACAGGAACACAATACAAATAATAAATATAAAGAAAAAACACTGGCACATTTTTCCAATATCTGACTTGTTTGTTGGATTACCCTCACTCTGTGTGTGTGTGCGCGCGTGCCGGATGTACGTTGCATCTTGTTTGGTTATTGGTTATGGTGGATGTTCTGTGATTTCCAATTAGCAACACCATCAACTGGACTGAGAAAATGAACAAAGTATATGCATAATGAAGGCAAGATAGTAAAAAAATACAGTGTTAAAATGTCATGTAAAAATATCTTTTATTTGAGCTAGATTTTTCCAATAGTCAAGTGCAATGCTAATGGATACCATATGAATTTGAAGAGAATTTTGCTAGATAAATGCTGTATGTGTGAGCCAACCTACAGGCGATATAATTTCCAGTCGTATTAATTTCATAATTTTTGATATATTTCTCTTTACCTTTTTGAAAGGGAGCTGATTTAACTGTCTACGCTATGGAATGTGCTATGATTCTTTTCTGATATATTCTTCTGAACTGTTAGATTTCTTCTTAAGTAATATATATATACAAACATCTTGTGTGCATAGTAAAATTATGGTTGAGATAAGTAGTTGCAGAAACAATAGTAGCCACACGTATATCCTAGCTTTCCCTAACTTAGCAGCTAGCTTCTAGATGTGTCTTATTTTTATTTCCATAATTCTCAACTAACGTTCTTTGAAACGGAAGCCTCAAGACATCTGGAAAGGAACAGCTTGAGATAGAATAAGCCTTATGTGAAGGTAAGAGTGCTCTTTCTACTTAACTGGACCAAAAGAACAGAAACACGGTGAAGTAGCAGCAAATCTGCATATCTTCTTCACAAGTTCAGTTGAAATTGCTGGCAGTTATTACAAATTAATAGAAGGTTGAACTTCTTCCTATTCCATGATGTCTACTACATCACTTAGATTTTGTCAACAACAGCTTATCAGAGGATTCAGGCAATCTTGGTGTGTTTCAGTGGTGGGTTTCAAAAGTTTTTGGAACCTACTCTGTGGGTGTGGCTTCCTTTGTGGGAGCGGCTTGCCAGCCATGTGACCTGGTGGGTGTGGCTTGCGGGCCATGTGTTCTCTCTCTCTCTCTCCCTCCCTCTCCCTCTCCCTCTCTCTCCTTCCTTTTGTCTCTGTCCCTTTTTCTTTTTTTCTTTCATCCCTCACTCTTTTTCTTTCTTTTTTCTTTCTTTCTTTCTTTCTTCCTTTCTTTCTCCCTTTCTTTCTCTTTCTCTCTCTCTCTGTGTCAGTCTCTCTCTCTCTCTGTGTGTGTGTGTGTGTGTTTGTGTGTTTGCAATATAGATGTTTCTTGTGGAAAGATCATAGAGTGTAACTGTAATAAGCATTGCATAAAATGGTAGTTTAAAAGACCGCAGGAGTAAAACACTACTTCTTTTGTCTCCTTAGAAAGCAATAGCAATATAGAGCAATATAGCAAGATCAAATACAGGAAAAAATTGTTAGAAAAGAAGATGAAAATTATAACTGGGGAATAAAACTGCCTTAAGAACAGTAATTGTTAGGGCAGAAGAATTTGAAGGCAGTTTGAACCACAATATTTTTTTAAAAGTGTCTGTAGTGAGTTTCTCTGGATATTTGGACAGAAAACAACTTTGGAGAACTTCTCTAGATTTAAAGAAAAAATTTCAAAACTTGGAGAGATGAGTAATATACCATCGTGCGCAGAATGAGGATGAAACACAGACAATAAGAGCGCTG